GTGTGACTGCTCCTTTGCCTCTGTCTCCTGCTGCTGCTGCCTCTGCCAGTGGAAGGGACAAGCCATGAGCCCTGAAAGAGGCAATTGGGCAGTGGCAGTGGCGGCAGCAAGAGGTGCCCAAGCATGCTCCTTTGCCTATGCCTCCTTCCATGTATAAAACAAACCTCAATTTTTCCTCTTAATTATTTTAGGAAAAAGTGTCATTTTATACATGGAAAAATATGGTAGTTTTGCATGCTCTTTAAAAGCATATGCTAATAACTGCACTTGTTTTTCTGAAATTTTCTGGCACCTGGTAGGTTTGTCTCCTTGTAATTGTTTCCATAGTTAACATTTTCTGACACATTAACATGTTTGTTAATTCCTTCTACTAATCATCTCTCTTCTTTGCAGGTGTTTGTAGCCAATCCCAACAAGACACAGCCTATATTAGATATTCTGCTAAAGAACCAGACCAAACTTATTGAGTTCCTCAGCAAGTTTCAGAATGACAGGACCGAAGATGAACAATTTAATGATGAGAAGACCTATTTAGTTAAACAGATCAGGGATTTGAAAAGACCAGCACAGCAAGAAGCTTAATCTCTTATAAACCCCTAAAATATTAAATCCAGATTCAGCATTTGCTGTTAGATATTCAGCATCAGGCACTCTTATCAATTCATGAGGAACATTACTGCTAATCTGCTGTTCAGTGAACAGTGTTTGTTTTTTTCTCTTTATTTTTTAGTCCAAGTTGACAAACCTAGCTGCTGCTTTCTTGCACAATGTGGACTTTCTTGGTATTTGTGTCTGAATTCAAGCACACTGCTTGTTTTTGGAAGTCCAGGGGTGGGGGGATTATTGGTTCATGAAAGCAAACATATAGATAATAATTTGGGATAGGAGGAGAAGGTATTAGAATAGTGTAAGTGATGAGGTGCATGCTTGCAAATCTGATTCAATCCGTATGTTTGCACTTAACCTTGTATGAGATGCGAGCACAATGTGATCTGTGCATAATTGGCACCCTAGTATAAGATTGTATGCCTTGATTTTTTTTAAAAAATGTGCAGTGCTTTATTTGTAATCAAAGGGGAAATGTATCTAAGATGTGAGCTTACTGGGATGAGCAGTGGTCTCGCAGATAAAACTGATACTGAAACATAGCAACTTCTAAAGGAGTGAGATCTCAGAGTTCATAAGGAAAATGTATATATGCCTTTCACTGCTTTATAGTTTGTTTTTTGAGAGAGTGATTTTCTGAGAATTGAGCTGTAGACGTGGAAATATGTTATAAGGGTTTTTGTTAATTTTACTTTAAATGCGTTTTGGACAGTAGAGCTTAGCAGTGACACTTCGCATTTCATTTCAAAAATGCTTGTTGGTTTCTTTTGTATATATCTCCTAGGCTGCTCATTTCTTTAAAAATGATTTAATTTGTACAGCAGAGGAATGTTAATGTATTAGTCTGTAACTTTTACCTGATACTGAGTTTTGCAAAGTGAAAGCTCATGTGTAATTAATACTATGAATCACATGAAAATGCTGATTTCACATTTCTTAAATACTGCAGCATCAAAAGGAAGAGAACCCATTTTTCCATATTTACTGACCTAATGGGGTGCCATCTGTTAGGGTAGACTGAAATGTAGTGCTGGAACCCACTAACCTGTATTCTTCAGTGTTGGCCTTATCCGTTTATATTAGTGCTGTGTTCAGCCACTTGCAAATTATGAAGATTATGCTAAATTAATATCATTTTGTTTTTCTTGTGGGTATATAGAGAATCTCTTCTGTTCATATAGGTAATACTCAGTATGATAGTTGTAATGGTAAATAACTTATAATTCCCCTTTACTTCCAAATTCATAATTACATAACTATCTTAATGTCAATATCTTGTTCCTTAATGCTGCAAATTATCAGTATTTATTTTTAGAAAGACTGATTTTGCACCACTCTTGTTACTGTGATCATAACAAAAAACATTGCTAAATATATCTAAACTATGTTATCAAAATGGCATCTGTTCTTAATAGTAGTACTAAGATCACAACCAGCCAAATTATATGGATTTGGAGTATGAAAGTTCAAATTCTGCATGATTGAACCTGACTGAGAATGCTATACAATTATTTATTGCTTTCTAGCTTCTTTCTGATTAAATTATTTTAGAAACTAATCTGCTGATTGACATTTTAGCCAATTCTTTAAAGCCTTCATGAAGGAAGTAGGCAAATAGCTCCAGCAAACAGGTCCTGATCATGCTGAATACTTCAACTTTGCCATGCTTCCTTTAGAGATCATAGAAAACCTGTTCTCTACAAAGTGATTCATACTGTCTATTGAAAGGAAAAAAAGTAATCATAGATCTGTTAAACCATTTACATAGGTAGGCAAAACTGGCCGTGAGATACTGTAGTTCAGTGCTCTGTCCTTTTTGGGGCGGGGGTGGTGGTATTGTTGTTAAAAGAAGGAAAACGTTTGGCAAATTATTATCCATTGTGCATACAACTTTTACTTTATGAGGGGAAAGTAGAAATGTTAAAAGTTCTGTATGTGTGTATATAAAGAAGTTAAAAATGGATTTGGATATTGGTTTTGCTTCTCTACTATTTGGCTTGGGAAGAAGTGGTGCAACCTTTTTTTAAAAAAGAATAATTGATTACTTGGAGTGTTGGCATTCAGAAGTTGTATTTAAGACCATTTGATGTGCTATTCATATTAAAAACTATTGTACTGGAATTGGTTTCTTATCTGCGTGAAGGCTTAAACATATTACTAAAAGTTCTTTAATGTGAGGTTTTTTTAAACAAATGTATACGATTGTAATTCTCCTTCCACAAAGCATTTCATTCCTTCAGATGAATGCATTTCTTATTAGAAAATCTGGCTGGCCCCATAATTTAAATTGAAATAAAATTTTGAAGAAACACAGTTGTGTGTTCTATAATATGTATCAATGAAAAAGGTTCACCTGAATCTGAGTATTTCTGGTGAACCATTCTGTACTTCTTGTGTACCATAAAACCCAGCATTTTACAAGCTTGATGCAAAATAACAAAATAAAAATAAACAAGAAAACACTAGCTTACCACTTTGCTTCCTGCAAGGCAGACTTCTCAGCCCTTCAGTTTATGTTCAATCCTTTTTATTGTTTTCAGTTGAATATTGATTGATTCTACTAATAGAAGCAATCAGGTATGTTTAGGAGTAGAAAAGTTGTAACACTACATAGCAAGGATATCTTGTGCAGTTATTTTCACGCCTTCCTCCAGACTACTTTGAGTATATTTGGTAAGGGAACTAAGCCCCGCCCGCAACAACTACACCTTCCTGGACCCTGGGAATGAATGTTAAGCTTGTAAAGTAAGAGGTGCTGTAGCCTTCTTATAAATGAGATCTAAATTACATCTCAAATTGTCTTGAGGTACATTTAAGCCTATTCTGATTGAGGCCAGTTTCATACATATATCTTTGGTTTTTGGTTTTTCCACGTTACTTTCCAGTATCCAAAGATGTATGTTTTGTAAAAAGCTTAATTTTAAAAAATATTCTTAAAGAGCTTGGGGTGTGTTAATCCAAAAATCAGCTTTTTGCTAGGTTCATTATTATGCACTTGTTATTTAACACAATTGATTCAAATATAATTTTGCATACATTTTGAATTAGCATATTTGTAGAAATAAAACACTCTCATTTTCTTGAAAGATTTTCTACCTACTCTTCTACTTTTGTCACTGCTTCCAGCAGAATCAAAAGAAAATGCATCATAATCATAGTTGATCAGAATACAGTGGACCCTCTACTTACGGAATTAATCCGTATTGGAACGGTGGCTGCAGGTCGAAAAGTCTGTAGGTCGAGTCTCCATTGACCTACAATGCATTGAAAACCGATTAATTCCATAACCGGCCGTTTTTGTTCCATTTTGGTTTTTTTCTGGTCTGTAAGTCGATTCTCCAGCTGCAAGTCGAACCTACATTTTGTGGCCAGAGAAGTCTGTAACTCAAAAAGTCTAAATCAAGCCGTCTGTATGTCGAAGGTCCACTGTAGTTCAAGTTTTAGAAGAGGTAACCATGCTAGTCTGCTAGCATATCAGACAAAAACAAAAGAAAAATTAAAAATAAAGACAAAAACTTGTGGCACCTTAAAGATTATATTTTAATGTGAGATGTTATGGACAAGTCCACTTCCCCCAAATAACTGAGTGAACTGCTGAAAATCTGGGGAATTAGGCATTACATTAAACTACAGTTTTGTACAAAGCTGCAAGCTGCACTTAAATGTTCTTCTCTGTGAACCAGATACATAGAGTTGCTCAAGAAGGGAATATTAAAATTAAAATATGCTTAAAAACTGTATATTAGCTCTGTGACACCCTGTGATTACTTCGGAGAGTTTTTGTCCTCCTCAAGCTGGCACTGATGGATAGGAAGTGTCCTTAGGTAAGCTAAATCTAATGGATATTTGCTTGTCACAGCTGTATCTCTTAAGACTAAACATCCCAAAATATCTCACAATAGCTGCCATTTCCTACTGATGTACCGGTATTTCTAAAGTTGAATTGCTGTGTTGTGGAGAGGAATGCGTTTACCTCCTTTATTGAGTCATCATTCATGCAGTTTCCAATTTCTACTTGTCCAGCTCCTTTAGTGCAGAGGTGGGAAACTGAAAGCTCTGAAGGGCAATTTTCTGCTCTGAGGACCTGCCAAGTGGCATGCTGGCCATAAAAATCAGCTGAAGCCCAGATAAAACAAAACAAATGTTTCTGGAAATTTCATCCATTTTCATTTTTATGGGTTTGAGTTTATTGGCAGGTGGGGATTACATCTATTTTATTACAAAATCACAATTCCTAGAGTTCTCTGCAGACTTCTTTTTGGTGGGGGAGAAGAGTTACCCAGAAGTTGCAGAAACAACCTTGAAGGGCTGCAAGAGTCTCTGGACAACACTTTGCGAATTGGTTGAGAGAATGGTTCAGATCTTGCATACTAGATTATTTTTAAAAAGCTGAGTCATTCATTGGAACATATGAAACAACACTGTACAAAGAAAATTCAGTTCTTTAAAAAAACCCTCCAATTTGTTAATAAGGGATATTGTGCTTCTGTATACACAATTCAAAATTCCAGGATATGACTGCACAATATCATGCCCATGTTGCCAGCAGAAGGAAGGATGTCAAGCAAAGGGCATCCAGAATGTTGACACACCAATAGCAGCAGTCTAGAGGGTCTTCAGCAGTTTTTCCCAACTTTTGTTGAGCCACAAGCCCATTTTATAATAGTCAAGTAACCCGTAAACACCCTGCCGCATTTCCATATAAAGGCATTTGAATAGGGTAAAGAAAACATTAAGAATAGATTTTACAGAATAATATAACTGTAAGCTAATATATATATATATAATTATAGGAATGGCTGTAAACCTGCCTCTACCAGATAAAACATGAGAATGAAAACTTGTCGATAATATTTTTTAGTTTAATTTCCTTTTTGATGGGAACCTTCCTGGTTCTCCCTCACCCTTTTGTCCCTATTACGTTTTTCCATGACTTAGGCAGGGGCTGCAGGCATCTCCTCACCCTGGTCCCCTCTCCAAAGTGCCACCATAGCTGCACCTGGAAGAGCAGGAGTTTCAAGTGGAGCGAATGCCACCACCAAAGCATCAGCTTTCCAGTCCTGCTGTCCTCTTGGGCACCATGTTCACCATGCGCCTCATTCAGACCTTGCTGAGCTGGTCTAATGTTTGTGTCTGAAGGGCTGATGTCAGTCCTCCAAAGATGGATGTGGCGGAGGAGACAAGTAAGAGTGGCTCTTTCAGAGGCTGTGGGAATGAGGTCCATGCCCTGGCACACTTGAAGGGGGCTACAGACTGAAACAAGTTTTTCACACACTACTTTTTAAGGTTTCTTATGTGACTGACTGATTCTGCCTATATTTCTTTCATATTGTGTTTATGGCCATGGCGAAAAAAGGTTGAGGACAGCTGTATGCCATATTTAACATCATAAATATAAAAATAATTGAAACCATAAATAATCACAGAAAACACTTTGGCCCACTGGTTGGGAAACCATGGTCTACAGCACTGGTTCTTAACCTTTGTTACTCATGTTTTTGGACTGCAACTCCCATAAGCCTTCACCATCAGCTCTGCCGGCTGGGGTTTCTGGGAGTTGCAGTTCAAAAACACCTGAGTAATAAAGGTTAAGAACCACTGGTCTACAGGATACCCTCTTGTGTTCACTACCGTGCATCGAGTGGCACAAAGCAAGGGAAAATCCCAGAAGCTGACTCCTTTTTTCATCAATTAACTTTTCAACCAACACGGAGCTATTGTCAGAACTGTTTTTCAACAAGTGTGAATTTCAGGCTTTTCATCTTTGGAGGTTAGATTATTTCACAGCCTTACCATAGCTGTCTTAAAATGGATGAGCAAATAAAAGCAATTAAGAATTCACACCCTTCAATGAGTCTTAGAATTTCACTGCCTCTTCTTAATTACTTTTATTTGCTTCCCCATTTTAAGACTGAGCTTCACTATACTTGAGCTTTGATTACTTTTCTTGCATTCAGTTAGAAGGAGAAAACTATTAAAGAAATGTTCCAGGCTCATCCAATGTGCTCCATAGTCAAGTGCAGATTTTGTCTAGAATTTCTTTGCTCCTAATTTGCTACAAATCACTATACCATGGTGGCCCCTAAATGCGCAATAACTTCTGTTCTTCCTCTAGTCATTTTTTTTTCTTTGATTCTTGTTTCACTGTGTTTGGGCATTCTCCATTGGTAGGGAGGAATCCTTGCTTTTACTTCCTTTCCCAGTATTCCTGGGGAATCGAATCCACAATCTTCCATGCACTGAAAACTTAACAGAGCATAGAGATTGTTTTAGATGACTGCACAATCCAGCTACTAAGGGCTAAGCTACAAGCTAGACAGTGTGTAGCACACAGCTGAAACTTTGCCTCTTTCCTACTTCAAAGTAAGCCTCCTCAGGCCTGGTCTAGGTCACTATTAGAGATGGTATATTCGTGTTCATCTCCTAGGGGAGACAAATATTGTCCCTTCAGGTGACTGGGCCCATTTGGTCCCTCCCCCCCCCCCCGAACTGGGCTCTCCACTTAATACTTGATGCACACATGGCCATCCTTGTTCATGCTGTGCCAATCGTGGAAGTAGCCCAGCTGGGGCTTCCCCGCCTCCCTCTGCTGGTGACCACTCCAGTGAGGGGACAGGATGACCAGTCTCCCTGCTCAGGTGCTGAGTGGTCACCGGCAGAGGGAAGTGGAGAAGCCCCAGCCGGGATACTTCCATGATTGGTGTGGTGCAAATGAGGACAGCCATGCTCACTGTGCCACAAGTGGTAAATGGATGGCCAGTTTTTTTGGTTAGAGGGTCAAATGGGCCCAGCCACCTGTGGTGGCGATATCTGTATTTGTCTGACCCAGGAGACAAATATGAATATCTCATCGCTAGTCAGTACAGTTAAATGGATCTAGGAGTCCTACACCATCCATCCCCAATATTTCTAAGCCTTATGTTGGTGGGTGATCTGTGGTAGTATAAAACTGTGGGGCCAGGGAAGTTGGGAGGCCCTCAAATCATAACAAAAATCTCCCCAATGTCTTCTAGAGCATGCAAGGCGTGTGCTTGATCTAAATGTTGGGTGAGGGTCTTTGAGGCTGCATTTGAGGGCTGCAGACCATATGTTGCCCACCCTACCTTAAATTGGCCCTCTTC